TGCCGTGGTGCTCGCAGGCCCGACCCCCCGTCCTCTCCCGCCTGCACGCACCGCCCACCAAATCACCCCAACCCAACCCGAAGGCCGCGATTCGCCCTCCATCTCCAGTGGTGGGGGGGTCGAGGAATTATGCTAACGGAGTTCCCCACATAAAGATGTTACGGGGTTCCATTGCTTCTTGTCTGCGCTCTGGTGGGGCCTCCCTGGAGGGGTGGGAGGGGCACGAAACCTGATGAATAATATGGTGTGCGAATACCCTGCCCGCTCTGGTGGGGCCTCCCTGGAGGGGTGGGAGGGGCACGAAACCTGATAAATAATATGGTGTACGGATACCCTGCCCGCTCTGGTGGGGCCTCCCTGGAGGGGTGGGAGGGGCAGGAAACCTGATAAATAACATGGTGTGCGAATACCCTGCCCGCTCTGGTGGGGCCTCCCTGGAGGGGTGGGAGGGGCACGAAACCTAATAATAAAATATGGCGTGCGAATACCCTGCCCGCCCTGGCGGGGCCTCCCTGGAGTGGCGGGAGGGGCAGGAAACCTGATGAATATCATGGTGTGCGAATGCCCTGCTCGCTCAGGCGGGGCCTCCCTGGAGGGGTGGGAGGGGCATGAAACCTGATAAATCATATGGTGTGCGAATACCCTGCCCGCTCTGGCGGGGCCTCCCTGGAATGTTGGGAGGGGCGCGAAACCTGATAAATAACATGGTGTGCGGATACCCTGCCCGCTCTGGTGGGGCCTCCCTGGAGGGGTGGAGGGGCACGAAACCTGATAAATAATATGGTGTGCGAATACCCTGCCCGCTCTGGTGGGGCCTCCCTGGAGGGGTGGGAGGGGCACGAAACCAGATAAATAACATGGTGTGCGAATACCCTGCTCGCTCAGGCGGGGCCTCCCTGGAGGGGTGGGAGGGGCACGAAACCTGATAAATAACATGGTGTGCGAATACCTTGCTTGCTCAGGCTGGGCCTCCCTGGAGGGGTGGGAGAGGCACGAAAACTTATAAATAACATGGTGTGCGAATACCCTGCTCGCTCAGGCGGGGCCTCCCTGGAGGGGTGGGATGGGCAGGATACCTGATAAATAACATGGTGTGCGAACACCCTTCCCGCTCTGGTGGGGCCTCCCTGGAGGGGTGGGAGGGGCACGAAACCTGATAAATAACATGGTGTGCGAATACCCTGCTCGCTCAGGCGGGGCCTCCCTGGAGGGATGGGTGGGGCAGGAAACCTGATAAATATCATGGTGTGCGAATACCCTGCTCGCTCAGGCGGGGCCTCCCTGGAGGGGTGGGAGGGGCACGAAACCTGATAAATAACATGGTGTGCGAATACCCTGCTCGCTCAGGCGGGGCCTCCCTGGAGGGGTGGAGGGGCACGAAACCTGATAAATAACATGGTGTGCGAATACCCTGCTCGCTCAGGCGGGGCCCCCTGGAGGGGTGGGAGGGGCACGAAACCTGATAAATAACATGGTGTGCGAATACCCTGCTCGCTCAGGCGGGGCCTCCCTGGAGGGGTGGGAGGGGCACGAAACCTGATAAATAACATGGTGTGCGAATACCCTGCTCGCTCAGGCGGGGCCTCCCTGGAGGGGTGGGAGGGGCACGAAACCTGATAAATAACATGGTGTGAGGAAAGGCATGGTATGGTATGGGATGGTGGATGCATGGTATGGTATGGTAAGGTATGGTATGGAGTGGCATGGTATTGGTATGGTATGATACAGTATGGGATGGTGGAGGAAGCGGGAGGAGGAGGAGGAGGAGGAGGAGGAGGAGGAGGAGGAGAGGAGGAGGAGGAGGAAGGAGGAGGAGAGGAGGAGGAGGAGGAGGAGGAGGAGGAGAGGATGTTCTGGGAAAACAAGAACCCCACTCAGGATGTGGGGAAAACACACATGTGAAGCCCGTGCCTCCCCCAACCCGAAATTCGGGTCTTCGGGTAGGGTTTGGGTGGTCTGGTAGGTAGTCGCTAGCGGACGCTGTGGGGGAGGGGGGGGAGGAGAGGCAGTCTTTGCCGGCAGCGGGGCAGGGCGCGGGAGGCCCTGGTCGGGGCTCCCCGGCAATGGATTCTCAAAGGTGGGGCGGGAAGCGGACGTCGGGGGCGGCCAAGAGGGGGGTGATGACTAGGGGGGGGGGTGGATATCATGGCGGGGGCTATGAAATCTCCCCTGATTTCTTCTCGCCTTTTCTTATTTCGATACGTCCCTGGCCCCCTCCTCCCTGGGCCGCGCACATGCCGACGGCCATGATTTGCGCCCCCTCCCTTTTGGACACCCCCCTCTTGGCCGCCCTCGAGGGACGTGGGGCCATGGTGGTGGACGTGCCCGGGTCTCAGTGGCCGTGTGGATCTCCAGCGCGGGCGCCGCGATCCTGGGAGAGGCAGCGTGCCACGTACACCCAGCGCTGACAGACGGCTGGCAACCCAGATTCACAGCATGGTTGAGCTGCCCAGGTCTACATGCAGCCAAGTGTCGGGCGGTGGGCAGGGGAGTTGGAACGGGGAGAGGGGGGGGGCAGGGAAGGGATACGTATGGGCAGGCGCGTGCGAGTTGAGATGGAACAGCAAGTACGCAGATGCAGAGGAGGGATCGTGACGTATGCTGAGGGCTTGGCAGAGAAAGATGAACAGAAACGATGTCGGGGGGCGTCACATGGGCAGGAAACGGCGCCACTGTCCCAGAGGGCCTCGCCGCACCCGCGTGCCCCAGGGATCCTCCCGCGGGAGAACCAGCCGACGTTCTGCCGCAAGTTCTGCCTCTTCCGAGACAGAAGGCGCGACAAGCGAGGCGCGCGAGAAGCATCGTCCCAGATGGTTCTGCCATTGTCCTCTTGCCTCCTCTTCCGCTTCCCTCCTGCCTGTGGTTGAGTGCCCTCCACTCCATGGCGCCCACGTGCGCGGAACCACGTGCCAAATGCACGTGCCAGACGCGTGTTCAGCCCCCCCCTCGCGCACGCCTACCCACGTGCGTAGAATCCGCCGCCCCATGCAGAGAACTCTGAGCCCACGCCTGTGCCCGGAACAAGTCTTGGGTCATCATGATAGGTGTTGGAGGCCATTCTGGGTGGAGGCACAGTGGAGCCTTCTGTCATAAAAATGGGGTTCTGGAACCTAGTGGGCCAGTTTGGGGCATCCGGAAGGTCCGATGAGGAACTCGTCGCCTCCTGTTTCCCCTTGGGATGTTGGACATTGGGAAGGGGAAGCAGAGGACGGGGAACAGCCGAGCATCTTGCACGCTTTCTTGCCTCCCCTGGCCATCGGTGGTTTGTGGATTCTGTCCGTACCGCCTTGAATTACCCCTCTCTGCTACGTCTTGTTTTGTTATGCCCCCGTGGCCAACCATCGGGACAACCACCAATCAATCAATCAATCAATCAATCAATCAATCAATCAATCAATCAATCAATCAATCAATCATGTATTTGCTAGCCTCATTGTAAGTCGGTCTCGCTAGCTCTCTATTCCACCCTCGACCTATCTGCCAAACGCACACATCTGGACAGACACGCGGGACAACCAGTGGGGCGACCATCGGGACAACCGTCGAGACAGTCATGGTGACAACAGGCGGGACAATCTTGGGGACAGCCGTGAGGACGACCGCGGGACAACCCTCGGGACCACCGTCGGGACACTCGGCGGGACGGCCAGGTGGCCCCCCTCGGGGGCAGCGGGAGGCGCCCGCGGGGCGACGCCTCCCCCGGCCGGACCCTGCCTGCGGCGCCTCGCCTCGCCCGCGAGCGCGCCACGGACGAAACGAAACGAGGCGGTGGGGGGCGTTCGTTAAGGAATGTGCCCAGGGGGCTCGAGGTCAAACGACGCGAAGATCGGGACAAAATCGGATCGGGATAACTCGAAATCTCTGAGAATCGGCGGGTTTGGAGGATGTATTGGGCGCCGCGGCCGCTCCAGAGCGTTCCGGAACGCTCTGAGAGCGCTCTGGAACGCTCTGGAGCAATTTATCCCGATCCTAGCCCTGTTTTACGAGGCCCTGGAGGATCCCTTAATCTAATAAGGGCGGCGGTGAGATCCATGGCCCATCCCCGATCGAAGTTCCACCGGCTTCGAGGGCCTGGATCCCTTATCCACTGGTTCGCCGTATCCCGGTCGGGGCACCTCATGTTTCACTTCGGTCTTACCTCTGTATCTTCGAACAAGAGTCGGAGAGAAACGGAGACCCCCCTGGGAAATCGATGCGGTTTCGTGTCGGACGCGTTCGTGCGGGCGAGGCGGAGCTGCGTGCGCGAGCGAGAGAAGTGATCCCGCCGTTGATAGGGTGAACTCAGAACGAAAGACTCGACGGGTTGGCAGATTGCGGGCCTGTCCCGACGGTTGTCTCGTGGTTGTCCGGCGGTTGTCCCGTGGTTGTCCCGATTGTTGTCCCGATGGCTGTCCCGACGGTTGTCCCGATGGTTGCCCCGATGGTTGCCCCGATGGTTGTCCCGATGGTTGTCCCGATGGTTGTCTCGATGGGTGTCCCGAATGCTGTCCCCATGGTTGTCCCGATGGTTGTCCCGATGGCTATCCCATGTATAGCTGACCCGAGTGTTGTCCCCGTGGTTGTCCCGATGGTTGTCTCGATGATTGTCCCGATATTTGTCCTGATGATGTAGATTGTTTTTTTTGACAGTGGGATTGACTTCGAGATAGCGAGGCCGCTATGGAAAATTTAACATCGTGAAGCGAGGAGAGGGTGGGCAGGCGGCCGCACCGTGGGTTGCACAACCGCGGCCGACTTGCTCAAGCTCCGAGGCCCCACGGGCTTCCACGCGCCCCCGTGCATGGACCTAGGTGGCTAGGTGCTGCAGGAGGCGGCCAGGGGGTTCGCCGCTGGCGCGGCGGCGTGGGGTGCGGCCTGGGGCTCCCAGTGCCCGGCCTGCCCTGTGCCCCCGCCGTGCCCAGCCTGCGTCTGCCATTGCGAGCCCTGGCTGGTCTGCCCCGGCGGCAGCCACGCCGGGCCCCCCTGCGCCGGGCTTGCTGGCCGCGGGCCTGGCCTCGCTGGGCAGCCTGGCCTGCACGGCAGTGGCTGCTTGGGCCTGCGCAAGGCGGCGCGGCCCCACGGCGGTCGGGCCCGCCCCGCCGGTGGCTTGGCCTGGTGGGCCGGCAGCGCTGGCAGGCGGCAGCCCCGCCACCTTGCCGGAGGTCGCCGCAGCGCAGGTGAGGTGGCCCTGCGGGCGGCCAAGCTCCAGCTGACGCAGTGAGATGGCCGTCGCCCCAGCAGCCCACCTTTTTGCACAGGTGGGGCTACAGTAGGGCGACTTCTTCCTCGCCGAGCACGCCGGGTTCCCAGATGTGTGGCACGCACAGCTGGTCATCCAAGCGCCGGATGGCCCGAGCCAGGTGTGCACGCTATAACCCCCGACGACGACAGCTACGAGGAGGACCGCCTCGCGCCGGCGGAGGTCCGCCGCTGGCTGCCCTGTGACGGGGGCCGCATGGGCGCCTACCCGGTGGCCGTCGCGGGTGGCCACGTGCACGGCTTCCGCGGCGTCCCAGCCCTGGCGAGGATCGCGCAGGTGCTCGCGGCAGCGGCGGCTCGGATGGGCCTCGCCCTGGCGCCTGGCGCGACGCTGGTGCCCAACCTCGTGGGTGCGGGGGCTGGCCCGCGGCCGCGGCCTGGCGCCCGAGCTGCTGCCTCTCTGGCTGCGGCCGTGGCGGTGGCGGCCCCTGGGGTGGCACCTGCGGTGGCGGCCCCCCCGGGCCTGCTGGCGGCTGCGCCGCCTGCGGCCGGAGCGGCGTGAGTGGCTCCCGGGGGCGGCGGTGGCGTTGCGGGCCTGGCAGCTGCCCTGGCGCTCCCGCCTGCAGGCGCCGCCGTGGCGGCCCCGCCCGCGGGCCCCCCGCCGCCCCTCGTCGGGGCTGCCGTGGCCGCCGCGCCTGCGGCCGCGGCCGCTGGTCCAGCCGCGGCTGCAGCTCCCGTGGATGCGCGGATCCAGCCGGTCTCGTAATGCAGGGGAACGATGAAAAATTCCCCCCCCCCAGACCCCCCAAAATGATTGAGTGGGGCGGACTAATAGAATTCAGCCGCCGGAAACTGTTTTTTTTAATCGTCCGCCCCCCGGCGTTTGCTTTTGCCCCTTTGGGGGAACTGATTTTCTATTCGTCCTCCTTCGCTCGCTTGATCACCCGCGGCCGCGGGGGGAGGATTGCGGAGGGGGGGGGTAATTAGGGAGTAGTTGAGGGAAGGGGTTCTCGAAGAGGCGCTTGATCACCCTCGTCCTTGCGGACGGCCGCCGGTCGTCCTTGCGGACGGCCGCGGCGATTGGGAGGTGGGGGATGAGGAGGAGGAGGAGGAGGAGGAAGAGGAGGAGCGGGGAGGACAAGCTAGGTGCGCTCGCGTCATATATGACAGCCTACCCTCCCTCCCTTCCCTTACCATGGCGTAGATCCCCTCTCTACTCGCACAGTCGGATGTCGAGCAGGGCAATGATCCCGAAAGGGTACGCGATGCATTGTAGAGCACGGCATGGCATGGCGTAGAAGAGCACCGCAAAGCGTAGTATGTCACAGCATGGCGTGGCGTGGCGTAGTGGAGACTTGCATCGCGAATCTTTGCAACGCAAAGCGTGGCATCGCACAGCGGCCCCGAACATAAAATTGCATAGCATGGCGTTGAAGATCAAAACGTAACATGGCAGAGCACGACGTGGCAAGTGAGCGCTCCTCCTCCTCCTCCTCCTCCTCCTCCTCCTCCTCCTCCTCCTCATTATTCTTCCTTCTCCTCAATTGCGAGGACGTCCAGGCGGGGGACGCCGCGTGGTTCATTATCTCCATATCCTGCCTGCACTCTCCTTGCCACACACATGCATTCATCATCTCCCTGGGTGCCGCCATGAGGGACGAGCTCGCCCTGAAAAATCCCCCCGTCCACCCCCCTGGCCCCCGCGCCCTGGATCGCCACCCCGTGCCCCCCCCCCGGCCTTCCAGGCAACCCGGAATTGTCAGCCCCCCGTCTGCCTGCCCTGCCCCCCCGCTATTGCGGGGGCGAGGGGGCCCGCGAAACATTTTTTTTAATCGTCCCCCCCAGATTTTTTAAAAATTCGTTTCCCTTCATTACGACCTCCAGGGGCAGCGGCACGCCGACTCCCGCACGGCGGTCTGGGGCATGACTGGGGGGGCCTTCCCCGACCTGGCTCGTGATGGGGGCCCAGGACCACGTTGTGGGTCCTCAAGTTTATGGAGGCCCACGGCGGCACGCCGACTGGCCGCCACTCCAGGTGGGTGTCGGAGACGAGGCTGCAGGGCCATGAGCCAGGAGTCGACGAGCCTGTAAGAACTTGTCGCGCGCTGGAGCGCATGGTGGTGTATGATCAGTTGAACGTGGCTAACCTAGCCTCAGGGGAGATGCTTGCCAGGACGGTGCTGCTGCAGGAGGAGCGCTACCGCGATCGGTTGGCGCCGGCAGTCGACTCCTCGAGCATGGAGTCGCACCTGCTGCTCATGCAGCTCGGACCAGCTGCGCGGCAACGCGTGCGTTGCGCCGGCCTTGCAGGAACACTGCCGGGACGAACTCGCCAAGACGAGCGCCTACAGGAAGGAGCAACGCAAAACCAGAGAGGAGCGCGACTTGGCCCGCCAGACAAAGAAGGGGCCAAAGGGCAACCAGACCTCTGGCAAGGGTTACAAGTGACCTCGGAGCGGGAGGTGGAGATGGGCGCCCACCCCCGCCAACCTGCCCGCCGGCTAGTTCGACTCTCGCTGATGGGCCACCCTTTTCTCGTCATCCCCAGGGCGCTGGAGAGCGGCAGCGGGACCTGCTTTCTCTTCCTTATCGTGGTGCTCGTGCTGATGACCCTAGTTTTGTGCGCCGCCGTCGCGGTCAGCGTCGAGTACGCGGCGCTTCATCGTGGCGGGGCTTGGCGAACGACGCGGCTGACGCCATGAATTCTGCGTGTGCCCCTGGGGCCCAGCCCGTAGGAACTTCTGAATGCCAGCGGGCGTCCCTCGAGCACATCCAGACCGCCTTCGCCAGTCTGGTCCCGCTCGCTGGCTGCGGGTGACGGCAATTCCTGATGGAGCTCTTGCCGTTCTCCTCTTTGGATCTCCTCTTTACAGCGCTGGGGGCCGACGCCGGCCCTACTCGCGGGACTTGATCTCGTCGCTCGACGTCGGCGACGACCCCGTGCTGCTCACGAGCGTCGTTGCTGGCCCGGGCGCTCATTGGCTTAGGGCTTGGAGCTCAAGCATGCTGCGTGGCCGGGGAGAAGCGGGCGCCGTCCTGCGACAGGTCTGCCCTCGCGGGCCGTGCGTCGACCCGCACCTGTCTTTCTCGCTGGCGACCTACGCCGACTTCCTTGCTCAGATGCTGAAGCGCAATCTGATCTGCTTCCAGGTGGATGGCCCCAGCATTAAGCCGATTTGAGTTTTCTGCCCGGCCAAGAAGAGCGATCGTCTGATACTGTTTTCCGACACTCGCATTGCTAACGCCTTTCCTGGACCTGCCTGCCACTGCCCTGCCCGTCGCAGCAGCCTTCGCCGACTTGGGGGCGCCGGGCGGCAGGGTGGTCATCGCCGCGGGCGATATCGACAACGCTTTCTACCGCCTGCGGAAGCCGGAGGGCCTGTGCAGCTACTTCAGGCTCCCGCCGATCGACAGGCGGCACCCCGAGGCTCGTGGCATCTTGGGTTCCCGAGCGGGGGGCGCCTTCAGGCCTGCCTCATCGTGTTGCCGACGGGCTTCTCGTGGGCGTCCCACCTCTGCCGGCTGGCCTTGCGCGCGGCCGTCGCGCGTGCGCTCGTGCTGGGGCGCCTCGTCATCGAGGACGGGCCCCCTGGCGTCGTTCTGGAGCCTGGCGGCCGTGCGTCGACAACTACCTGGCGGTCAGTGGCGACGAGGCCTGCTCCGACGATGCCCTGGGCCGCGTCGCGGCGGAGCTGGAGGGCGCGGGGCTGCGCGCGCATGCGCCCGAGTGGGCGGCCGACGCCTGCAGCTTTCTGGGGATGGAGCTGCGGCGCTGGCGCTGGCTCGCCATCAAGGGGCGCGCCGTGTGGCGGCTGCGCTTCGCCGTCGAGGCCTCGTGTGGCGGCGGCTGCCGCGGCGGGGTCGCGCCTCGGGCCGCCTGATCCGCGTGGTGGGCGGCCGCGTGACTTGGGCGTCGATGGACAGGCGCGAGGCGCTCGGGCTGCTCGGCGTCACCTATGCCTTCATGGTTTCGGCCGGCGCGGAGGCGTGGCCGCCGTGGCCGGCAGTCCGCGCGGAGTTGTGGCGCGCCCGCTGCCTGCTGCCCCTGCTCGTCGCGGACCTGGCGGCCCCCTGGGCCCCGAGGCTGGTCGCCAGTGGCGCCGGCGAGGAGGGCCTCGTGGTTGGTCGCCGGCAGGCTCCTAGCAGCCTCGTCGCCCAGTGCGGGCGGCTGCGCGAGCGGTGGCGGTGCCGAGTCGAGGGAGGAGCGCGTGCCAGGGACAGAGCTCTCCTCCCCCGGCCTGCCTGTGTTCCCCTCAGCCCTTGCCATCGCGCGTCTGATGCCAGCGGGGCCCAGCTCCTCGGATCCACGGCTTTGCCAAGCACGCCGGACAGGGGCTTGGGCCTCAGCAAGACCGCGCAGTCGAGATCTCTAAGAATGCGACGGAGGACATCAGGGTCTCCGACTGGGTCTTCAACTCGGGCCCCGTGGGCTCGCCTAAGGTCTCCGAGGGCCCCAGTGTCGAGGGCGCTCAGGAGGGCCCCTTGATTGTGACGTTGTGCAACGGGTTCCAGGATCTCGACGAGGTCCCTGCCCGGCTACTGGACGCAAAGTCCTGGAGGGGCAAGACGTCTTGGGTCTGGAAGCTGACGCCTTCGTGGTTGCCTACAAGCACCTCTTGAGATCATCGGCGCGTCGTGGTAAACGCGTTCTGGCCCTCGTCGATGACGTGCCGCTGTGCCTAGCCGTGGTGAAGGGTAGAGCAGCCTCATCCTATTTGCAGCTGCCGCTTCTGAAGATATGTATGATCCGCTTGCAACGGGGGCCATATTGCATTGTCGGTGGATTCCATCCGAGCGAAACCCTGCCGACGCTCTGTCTCGGGGGCGACGCACCTGGTTGTCAAATTCTGCCGATCGCCTTCGGCCCCAGCGGCAGGCCGCCCGGAATGGCGGCGCGGTGGTGCCCCGCGGAGGCGGCCCGGCTGCCGGCCCCGAGGCGGCCCGCGCGGCCCGCGGCGGCCCGGCAGCCGGCCTTCTGGCGGCCCGCGCGGCGCCCAGCGCTGGCGGCCACTTAGGCGCGCGAGCGCCGAGTGGCCCTGGCTAGCCGCCTGATGGCCGAGCGGCCGCCGCTGGAGCAGCTGAGTGCGCTGGAGACCCTGGCCTTGGGGTCCAACGCGGAGTCGCAGTGCCGCGGGGTCTTGCTGGAGTTTGTAGAGTACTGCTCGCGGAGCCACCTGGACTGGAAGGACTTCAGGGAGTTGGGTGCCGTCGCGACCAGCTTGTTATACCACCAGTTCGCTCTGGGGGCGCCCTCGAGCCAGGGCTCGCTGCTGCTGGCGTCGCTTGCGCACATCTTGCCGAGCCTCCAGGGCTCGTGGAGGTCTCAGCTGCCGCGGGCCGCGAGGAGCTCAATTGTGAATGGCCTGGCAGCGGCGGGTGCCCGCCGCGACGAGGGCGCCGTTGCCGTGCTGCGCGGCCGTCGCGCAGGCTGGGCTGCTGGTCATCAGTGGGCGGCGGCGCATGACGGGATGGACCCTGCTTGCGTTCAGCTGCTACCTGGGCCGTTCGAGGCTCCGGGGCTTCGCGGCGTTTCCTTGGTGCGCCCTGTGCTGCAGGGGGCTCCTCGGCGGGGAGTTGGGCTCTGCTGCTGCGCCCCGCCGGCGGGGGTCG